CCTACTGTTATCATACATAATAATATTATGTATGATAACAATAGGTAAGAAACTTCTTACCTATTGTTATCATACATAATATTTCTTACCTACTGTTATCATACATAATATTTCTTACCTATTGTTATCATACATAATATTTCTTACCTACTGTTATCATACATAATACTTCTTACCTATTGTTATCATACATAATATTTCTTACCTAGTGTTATATAATACAATGAGCTTATAAGGCCCAAAGATATTTTTCAAAATTCAAACGTATGTACGGTTCCAGATATGTGTATATCTTTAACAACGGTAAGGTGTTCACAGAAGTTGGCTAGTCTCCCTTTGCTTCAGTTATCTGTTGTTCTGGATCATGTTCAGGCCAGATGAGCTCTATTAGGTATTTAGCGAAAGGTCTCGTTGGTACATGATATTACACATATAGGGATTTTGGCATATTACTAAATTCTCCTTTAGTTTCATTCATACGTTTTTATACAATTACATGGAATTTGCCGGGTAAAAGTTGACACTAAAATGTTTAGAACTAGCAACAATACCAAGTTTCTATAATAAGGAAAGAAATAGCACTAATAGTATATAAAATATTTGGTATAGGACACATAATTTTAGAGGGATGAGATTTGGCAGACTTATTGTCCATGTATGACGCATGCGCATATGTCCTATAGGGATGAGATTTGACAGCACGCCGGTGAGGAGTAGTGGGTACTATTTATTTTCTAGCAACACAATTAAGTTAGCTATGCCCTATTCTTTCTTTAACAGTATTGGTTTTATATATATTATAACTAATTTTAGTTTCTCATAGCCTCATTTTTTAAATATTAAAAAATGATTTCACATTGTTAGCCCAGAGTTTATGGATTTAGGACGAACCACAATGTGATAGTTCATACTTGGATATCGGCCTAAACAAATAAAACTTTTATCACGGCGTGTTGATTAAAATACTTAATATGTGTACTTATATTCTAAATTATCTGATCAGAAGTTAATGGCAATTACGTATACATGTTGACTCTAAAAACGTCTCATAATAAGCTACATTCATTGAGAAGGTTATTATCACATATGCAGCAACTGACTGCACGTCACTCAATATACTATTTAGTTTTACTGAGTAATTATGCCACTTATGATGTATGGTAAAATTAAGGTGGTTGCTAAGGGTCATCAAGCACCAATCTATACGATAACCTGGAAAGAATGTGAACTTTTGTATAAGGGTACATAGCTTGAACATATTACGTCCCAGACTGGTACCATAATTCAGTAGTTATCATCTGTTATGATAATGTGTAGATAGTGACCTTTCGAATAACGTGTAAGGTAGACATCAAAATAAAAATATAGGCCTCTTTCTGTGGTCTAATTGGACTTTGAAGACTGTAAAAATATTAAAGACTTGACTTTTTTCGTATTACACTCCTCTAATTTAAACCGGTTTCAGGAATTACCACCTTTGTTCAGAAAACCCTGAGGAGAAAGGTTGATTACAAGCCTTGTATCTTAATATTTGAATTGGACGATACTCTTAGGAATCTTACATTTTTTTTTCTGTTATGAGCATCGACGGATTAATTGAGAACAATAATGTGGAAGTTAGTTTAACCTCTATGCTATACAGATGTAGAACTGAGCATCTACATGACTTTAATACAACTAATATGTTTGAAACTTGTTTCCAAGAATATATGAGTGACTAGGTGTAACATTTAGCTGTTGGTATGTTTTAGGAAATTATTAATTCATGAATGATATACTTTGGAAAGGAAATAACTTCCGTTTGGATAATTCGAGGGTATGAAAACGCATACATCTATTTTTTCATAGTGAATCAATGTTGGAGTCTGCCGAGATTATCAGCCAAGTGTAGCACATTACCTTGTTATGACATACAAGTTGTGATTTACATTAGCCAGGTGTAACACTTTACCTTGTTATGACATACAAGTTGTGATTTACACTAGCCAGATGTAACACATTACCTTGTTATGACATACAAGTTGTGATTTACATTAGCCAGGTGTAACACTTTACCTTGTTATGACATACAAGTTGTGATGTACACTAGCCAGGTGTAACACATTACCTTGTTATGACATACAAGTTGTGATTTACACTAGCCAGATGTAACACTTTACCTTGTTATGACATACAAGTTGTGATTTACACTAGCCAGATGTAACACATTACCTTGTTATGACATACAAGTTGTGATTTACACTAGCCAGATGTAACACATTACCTTGTTATGACATACAAGTTGTGATTTACACTAGCCAGATGTAACACATTACCTTGTTATGACATACAAGTTGTGATTTACACTAGCCCATACGTACTTGTAAGTATAATTTTTTTGCATGTCCCTGACTTGAGAAAACGTTGCACAACTCTATCTTTACAACAACGTTTTATGAAGCATTACAACTACGATGAAAAGGAACTGTAATCACAGAACGACTCATATCCGTATGACGCAGATACCAAAGGGGAAGGAAGTTCTGGGTATGTTAGCCGATGTAATGTCTCCAGTAATCTTCGTACATAGTAAAGTGTACAAGTTTCTTGTTATCGGGATTGTGTTTTAGAGCAGTTAAGTAGTCATCAGGTCCTGTTATTTTTTCATGAGTAGTGTGTTGATATATGTCATACCGTATCCGGACTCATAATCACTTCACTCAGACCTCTGAATGTGTTTACTGTGTTGTACAACGTAAGAATTGTGTGAATTATGACTACAAAATGTGGGAAATAAATGGTAAGTTTTATGAAATGAAATTGGAGGTAAGATTTCACTTTTAACTTATTTTATCATATAATTTTATAGGACTGAGCTGATTAACTGTGCGATTTCATATTAGAGAAATCATTGCTTGCGTGGGTCTCGCGTCATTTGAGAGATATGCAGGACACAGCATATATATATACACATACACCAGCCACGAAATACAAAACATTTGCGGGAGTTTTCATGCCCTTCGCTTGAATTTTCCTTATTGTATCATTTTCACGCACGCCATTTAAGGTACGCCTTTTTCAGTCATTATGTCTTACATCGATAAATTTTTGGTCTATTTGAAAAAAAATATATATACGCAGTCAGACAAACAAATTCACGTATTTAATAAAACTACATGTATCTAATTATATTTAATAAAACTATACGTAAAGTAAAGTGATTATACTTATAATATGGTACAGATTGTAAAACAGTTATGAATATTGGAGTTGAAACAAAGAAACTCACAAAAACGAATAATAAAACACGTAGTAAAGAAAAAATAGCCAAAAGGTGTTTATAGCAGTCTGTGAAATGAACCGAAGCTAAATCGTTGAAAAGTAAAGTGAATGTAAAGTTATAATGAAAGGAAAGTTAGCTGAATATGCAGAAACGTCTGAATGCGTATTCAGAAAGTGATAAGCATATGATTTTGAACAAACTGCGCATGTGTATTTTAGACCTAAATTGTCGAGAAAGCCCATAGAAATTGTATTTAGTGTAATGTTAATTTTTAAGGAAATGACACGCGGGTTAAGTGTCGTTTCTTTGAAATACTTAGCAAATAAAAAAAGTAAAGTTGAAATCGAAGCCAGTTGTTACGTGATGACAACGGCATTGTGCCATCGTGTACCATAATAGTTGCATTGAAAAGTTTGACTAAGCAAAAAGCAGGTAAGGTAATTCTGAATGAAAAACGCAATATGCAATCCGGACTCCTCGGACAAAGGATTTTCTAACGATATGAGATGTGTAGTGTTTGATCGAGGAATTTGCGAAAAAAGTTCCGGACAGACAAATGAAAGCGTATTATTCATATAGATAGTTTTCTGAGCTTATGTTTCTTTTTACAGAAAACATTTATTTTTACTGAAGTTCGTGGAAACGCAATGGTTCCATTACTATGATGCTCTAATTAAAACGTTTTTTAGGAGTAAAGAAAACGTAAATTTAAAACTAAAACTCAATTCATTAGAGAAAATACATCAGTAATCTTTCACTTAGTAAACGTATAGTGTTAAGTATTTATCTATTTTCCTTTCGCTAATATTTTAGATTAATATAAGTGTTTCTCGTCATTAAAAACTGAAATGATCTAGGTTAATCCTATTAATTTACTATTAATGACGAAGAACATTTAGTTAATTAGAGAGTTTGTGTACAGGAGTTTCTTTAATTGTGAAACCGAGAGACTGTCAGAATCCTTAGTTAAAATAAACAAACACGTATTATATTATGTTAGTACAAAATATACATTTTAATCATAAACATTAATATTTCTTTGTTTTAATACAGACTGGACAAAAATATTGTTCGTTGTTATGTCTGCAGTATCCGGCTTTCTCGCTGTTTTAGTGATCTTTCTGTATTGGCGTTTTTACACTTTGAAGAAACAAAAACAAAGTTCTGCTAATATTCAAGACTCCTGTAAGGTTCTATTGGAAAGCAAAGGAATACCAAAAACTATCGCTGTCAACCAAAATATGTATGCAGATGATCCAACTTTAAAGTGTCAACCGCCACCACAGCCTAGTTTTCTTCACTTAGAACACCTCAAAACTCAAAACTACTATGACAGCTCATTTTCAGACACAGATTGCGAAACAGAGCATCAGGATGTAAAAGCTGGTTTATCTCATTCAGCAGCTGACGATTTGGATAGTTCGAGAGAAGATACTGAGGATAGTTTAAGGTGTGAACAAATCTCTATTAAGAAAGCTCCAGTTATTGAATTTGGTCTAGTTTATGTGTCAAGCAAAAAGTCTTTAACAATTCACGTAATTCGTGTCACGAATCTCCCATTGAGGTATCGTAAAAACTGTTCCTCATACGTGAAAGTATCGTTGTTTGGTCACAAAAAAATCTCACGTAACACTCCGGTATCCAAAAAATCTCTGAATCCAGAATTCGAAGAAAACTTTACTTTCGAATATTATACTCTGGAGGAACTACAACAATTTATATTGAGACTCTCCGTGTACATTAAGCACTCTCATTTTCCGAAAAATAGAAGAATTGGTGACTTCTGGCTTAACTTGTCGAGACTAGAGCTGACACCAAACGTTTATCAAATACTTTCAGGAGAAATACTGCCACCCAAGACATCACGATCGGTAAATATGTATTTGGATTTATTAACAATAGAACCCAGGGTAATACGTCAAATGCACCTTGTAATAATTAAATTATAAGGTCTTCTTTGTAAGGCTTGTAACTTTATTATATTTTTGTGATAAGGATATCAGAAGTATATATTAATTAATAATTCAACTATTTGATTTTTTTTTGTAATGATGATAAACTTTATTTGTAACTTCGATTATAGAATATAGAACAACTGTTAAAGAGTCTTAGGAGTAGAAAAAAATCAAAGTATTAGTTTTTCTAATTTTAATAAAGTTGTATACAGAGGTTGTTTGTTGTTAAGCGTAAAGCAGCTCAATGGGTTATCTGTGCTATGCCCACCACGAGTATTGAAACTCGGTTTTTAACATTGTGAGCCCCCAGATTTACCGTTGAGTCACTAGCCACTTTGTACAATGACAGCTCAATAATAGCAATTAAATATTTATGCGACAATTCAATAATTAGTCAAAATAATAAGTCAAAATACAAAATCAATTAATTTATTATTTTTACTTGTTTAGGGTTTTCACATTAATATTTTTTATGTTAGATTTCGTCATAATTTCTCTGGACAGTGGCAATTAGAAATGTATCAATTACAAAACATTCTTGCTTCTGAAGTATTTTCAAAAATGTTAATAAAGTTTCAATGTTTACATGACTTATTCGACTGATATACAATACCTTGCAAAAGTATTCACCCCTTACCAATAATGTCACATTTTGATGAAATATAAATAATATAAACAATATTTTTAATGAACTTGTTTTTATTTAAAACTCCAATGATCAAACTTAAAACTCTTATGTGTGAAGGATGTTGAATGTAAACAAAACCTGCAAAGAAAAATATATAAATCGAAATTTGCTGATTGCATAAGTATTCAGCCCCCTATATCAGTACTTGTGGAAGCATCTTTGACAACAATTATTGCTGTGAGTCTTTTGGGATAGGCCTCAAACAGTTTTTCTCAATGGGATGGTGTAATATTTGCCCATTCTTCCTGACAAAATTGCTCCAATTCTGACAAGTTCGTTGGAGATCGTTGATGGACTGCAATTTTAAAGTTTATCCATAAATTTTCTATTGAATTCAAGTCAGACTTTGACTGGGCCACTCCAGGACTTTCACTTTCTTTTTCTGAAACCACTCCAGTGTGGCTTTGGTCTTGTGCTTCGGGTCATTATCCTGCTGAAATGTGAATTTTCGACTAGTTTTAGATTCTTGGCTAACTAAACAGGTTTTCCTCTAGGATTCACCTGTACTTTGCACCATCCATCTTCTCCTCAGTCCTGAGAAGCTTCCCAGTCCCTGCTGATGAGAAGCGTCCCTAAACATGATGCTGCCATCACCATGCTTGACAGGTGCGTTGGTGTTGACTGAGTGATGTGCTATGTTGGGCTTGCGCCAGACGTAATGCTTTTAATTAAACCAAAACGCTCAATTTTGGTCTCGTCTGACCAAAAAACCTTTTACTATAAGTTTGCAGTATAATTTACATGCTTTGTCGCAGACTCTATATGAGATTTAAGATGATTATTTTTTAATAATGGCTTCTTTCTTGCCACATATAGGCTAGCTTTGTGTAGGGGCATGGATACTGTCGATGTATGCTTAGTTTGGAAGAGTGGCCTGATATGGATAGTGACTGGTTGGTATGAAGCACATTCCAGTTTTTAATGATAGACTTCACCATACTGAAAGGGATAATCAGCGACTTTGAAATTTTCTTGTAATCTTCTCCTGATCTGTGCTTCTCTACCACTTTATCCCTGATTTGTTTGTAAAACTCTTTGGTCTTCGTGGTTTGTTTGTCGTAGCGCTCTGTAAGTTGTGACTTGAACAGATGCATTTACTCTGAAATCAAGTTAAACCATTTTGATTGCAAACAGACAGACACCATTACACTAATTTGTGCCATTTCAAACTAATCTTTTGCACCTGAACTGATTTAGGGTTGTCGTAGCAAAGGGGTTGAATACTTATGCAATTGGGAATATTCTAATTTTCTCTGAAAATTTAACTTGCTTACATAACATCAGCGTTTTTTTAGCTTTCTCAGTTTGGAGTAGATTGTGTATCTTCTAAGCATAACGTCCCCTTGGAAAGTTTCATAATTGCAAGCTCAGACGGCAACAAAATGTGGAACTTTGCAAGGAGGTGAATACCTTTGCAAGACATTGTACCTTACTCAGTGCTAATAGGATTTTGTGAATAACGATTGTTATGGAATATACACGTATTTTACAAGCCGGCGAAGAATGATTATAATTATATTTGTCATAAGACATTAGTATTAGACATGTTACGTTTTTAAACATTACATTTTTAATTTAGTCCCTTAAGGAGTTTGAGAATTAGAATATTTTATAATAACAGTATTCATACCACATTATATTTGTCATATTTGTTGCCGACGACGCATTTCGCTCAGTACAGAGCTCTCAGGCCGGCTGGGATACAACAAACCCCACATTGGTTGGAACCCTATTTATATAAGCCATTTGATACTCTTACGACCGCGGAAGTCACGCGACGCTGGGAGCATACGCACTGGAGTTTCTGGAAGGATCATGAATTTTCTTGGCAACTCTAGTTTGTTCGAGGCGCCGTCTTTTTTAGTATATAAGCCTGGCGAGAAAACCAGCGCGATTGAAGAGATATAAATAGATGGAAGAGATAGATTGAAGAGTTAGGTAATTGAGTCAAGCGAACAGTAGGCACCGTAAGTAAAGTGTGTGAATCACTGTGATTTATAGCGTGTGTTATAAAGGTTGTTAAGTTTAAAGTGACTGTGGAAATTTTGTGTATTACAAAGCTGTATCGAGAAAGAATAAACTAGTTTTAATTAAGAAAGAACTTGTATAGCTGAAGTTCCTCGGAAATAATTTATACCGGAAATTAACAAACAAGCAGATACGCAACAATACAATAAAGTTGTTATGGGGTGTACGCCTATTTCAAAAGCCAGCGAAAAATGATTACATTTATATTTGCATACTAGCCATAATGATGGATTTATCGCCGTTTAAATGATAAATCAGCGGTAAGTCCGAATGCTTAAAATGTTAAAAATCGTGTTTCAATATCCACTGTACAGTACTTAGATAGGGCATCGTGTTGTGTTGTGTTTAACAACAGAGAAACAAAAAAAGAATAAAATAAATGTCATAAAGTACTATATTCAGAGAAATCTGTTCAACCATTATTATATCAGCATTACGATCAAAAGAAACCAAGAACATCAGGAAAAAACCAAAAAACTGGAGTTTTTATCACAGACAACATTGTTTACCATAAATCTACTTGCGCTACAAAAATCTGGGATTGAGGAATATTTTAGATGTTTAGTTCCGCATGAGTCCTGACGATAGCAAAGAATTAAAGTACTTTTACCTTGTTTGTTTGTAGTTAAGCACAAAGCTACCCAATGGGCTATCTGTGCTCTGCCCCCATGGGTATCGAAACCCGGTTTCTAGCGTTGTAAGTCTGCAGACATATCGTTCTGCCAATGGGGGGGGGGGTGTCTGCTTTTACCTTTCATATTTCCAGAACATTTTTTTTTAACGCTACAAAGATTTTTCAGAAGGTGTCATATCTTTTTATGTTGAACAGAAGGTCTGAAAGTGTATTTTTCATTTGTAAATTTGGTTTCCTGTGCTATGATTCAGTGAGTACTGTGAAATGTTAAAGCAATTTATATCGTCACTGATATAGAGTTGTTTCATCATTGTTTTAAATATGCAATGTTTTCAATGAATATACAGACGAACTTTTTTAAAAACATTTCTAGATGTATATATATATGTATAAGTCATGGTCATAAACCATCGATCTATGTGTACCAAATATTTACTTATGTGACTATAAATATTATATTTTTTTGTTTTCTTTTCCTGTAACGCAAACATTCAAAGATCAATTTCAATTGTTTTCAGACACTTTCAGTAGCAGACCTCGGTTTCCTTTTCATCACGCTACAATATCAATCCGAGGCCAATAGACTTAAAGTAATGGTCCGGAAAGCAAACAATTTAAGACGACAAACAGCTGTTTCCATAACACAATCAGGTAGATATGTTTAACTTCCTGTAAAATAGACAGTTTAGTTGGTCACTTTGTATTTAGCGCCAATAAAATTAATGTACATTACTTGACTGTATTGTTTTAAATGGAATAAAAACTGAAATAAAACAAGAAAAGTGCTTCATCTGTTGGCAGTATGTATTATGCATAAATTAGTACTAAGTCTCTGTTTCCATCAGGCAACAATCACTTAAACAACCAGACATGGAAAGTAAAGTACTAGACAACGAGATTATTTTTGTCGATATATCGTTTGATAAATATTTGTATTTTCAAACTGGAAAATATTTTATTTACAACGCCATCTTTTTATATTTATATAAAATTATTTTTCTCAAAATTATACTAAATTGGTAAATTTTCCGTAAACATTTCAGTTATCGAAATTTATCGTATATTGAAAAAAATACTAAATCTTTTTGAATAAAAAAACATTCTTGATATTGAGATGAGCCAGTTTTATATTTCAAGTAAAACTCAACAAATGGTTCTAAAGATGTACAGTTTAAAACAGAGTAAATACTAAACCTACAATTTTTCAATTTACCGGATATCATAATCATAAAAGCCAAGTGTCCGTCGGTCATCCTCGATCTCTCCGAATTTCGTGAGTCACACGAGTCCAATTCCACTTTTTCTCATATAATTCTTCCTTTTTTGATTGCCCGTTCCCACTTTAGTTGAATTCAATCGCTAACATAAGCGTAAATAACTTCTACATTTCGGCACTTTTCTGCCAAGGAAGTAGTTTTTATACCAAGTATTTATTTAGCACCAATTTGCCGTTTGTTATGAAGAGAAGTTTTTGAACGGTGATAGAGTATTTACAAGAAATGTGGTTTTAAGAGAACTATTGCAATAATGCAACTGATTTGATAAGAAAATAACTGTGATCAATGAATGCTGGGACAAGGATTGATATTGAGAAGAGACACTCTTAAGGTAAAGGAGATATAGCTCATGGTAGGCTTTTGGTTTCCCCAAAAGTAGTTAATCCAGGGACCGGAGCAACACACAACAAGAGGAAGCTACACTGGTGTCGACCTTAGGCAATAGAGGGAGGGTAGAAACAATAATGTCACCAGAGAAAATTAGGTCAGAGTTCCACAAAGTGGAACCAGAGAGCACTGGCGCCTTGCAATGATGTCAACAGAGAGGGTGTGTTGCTAGGCCACCAAGACGGGCGGCCGCGACATCAGAAATAATGACGCTTATGACATGTATCAAGGTGTCTCAACGTGGTTAGGTTTAAAACTTTAATTTATCAATTCTAAATTTAATTACATTTCCTTACAATTTATATGTAAATCACCCAGAAAAACACGTTTATTTAAAGAGTTAAAATTTACTGTTTCACTAGTTTGAGCTTAACACTAATTCATTAGTTTTATATTTAATTACATTTCCTGACCATTTACATCTAAATCGTCATAAAAAAGGGTGCTTATTTAAATATCATACAATGATTTAAAATTTACTTTTACACTAGTTTGACTATAGGATATCCATATAACTTGGCAAAATAACACATTTACACATGTTGCTTTATAGTTTTATCTTACACGAGTTTTACAAGGGTGGACAATCTACTTCAACATATGACCACGTCATCAATGCGTAGAGTTAATTATGTTAAAACCATTATTTTAACGACAATCTTACTGTCCATAGGATTTTAACAAATCTGCTGTTATCCATTATTTGAATATCACAACTTACGTTTTTATTTTCAATTATATATATATATATATATATATCTGTATTACATGTATTTTACAAAGGTGTGCAATGTTACTAAGGGTTGTTTCTATACTTCCATAGGACACTATGCAGCATATAGTCGTTCTTTTCATTACCATTTGTTGGTCATTAAAACCATGGAAACATTTCACTCTGACTCATTGTGACATGTTCAGCTTTGTCCACAACAATAATAAACATAATATTTACAATATTGTCAACACACACACATTAACTTAGTTTATAAATGGAGAACAACCATATTTTACAAACAATTAGCTTAGAATAATTATTTAGCTTCAGAAAGTCATTGTACGTTTAGTACAGATTGAATATAAACTCTTTTAAGGATGATACGATGAGTAAACTCCGATTATATCGGTGTTTATCCGGCATGAGACTTCGTGACTGTTTTCGTGTCGAATTTTGTTCTTTTCACCCACAGAAATAACACTGCAGTGACAATATGTTCAGCATTGTACACTTATTTACACGCCCCTAGCAAAGCACTCTCTCTGATGACATCATTGCATGGTGCCAGCACCCTCTGGTTCCACTTCGTATTACTATGACCTAATTGTCTCTGGTGACGTCATTGTCTCTACCCTCCCCCTATTGGCTGAGGTCGACATGCGTGTAGCGTCCTCTGGTGGAACGTCGCACAGTCCCCGGGGTAACTACTCCCGAAGGTAGAAGATCCTATATTTTTCTTATGTGTGTTTACGGGCGGCAAAGCTACAAATGATATTAGAGGATTCAAATTTGGTAGGTTTTTGGTTTCTCGTCATTTTTGACGGGCTTTTATACTAGTAACTTATATTTTGAAAAATCTATGTATCAAGCAAAAAATAATTTTTATACTACCTAAGAAATACACTTAATTTCCAAGTGCTACAATATTTTTATACAAACAAATATTGATGTAAATATGCTTTTTGTTTGTTATTAAGCACATGTACTATTTGTTCTCTGTCGGCTGCGGGTATCGAAACTTATGTAAATAGGCCAAGCTAGTTTTAGAGTATCACGTACAAAATGTATAAGTATTATAAATGAGGCTTCAAGTACATAGATCCCTCATTTTTTTTTCCGGACATCTGGTTACTTTTTATTACTGTATCTTTATAGTATCTTTATGTATTTGTGTATAGTAATAGTTTAAATTCCCATAAAAGTTATTATTCAATAACCTTTATATGGTTTTACTTATATCATTACATCATTAACAAGTTTAATTAAGTTTTGTTTTTATTTAAATATTATTAAAGTATGGTATGACTCCTTACATTTATTGATATGAAGTTGATTACAGAACCATTCATGTTTAGTGATATAAGATTTGATTTTTCGCTCTCTCTCTCTCTCTTTTTTTCCAGAGTACTATGTAATTATTAACTTGTTCCGGGGTATTAAGGCTATAACTTACAAGGAAACTAGACCCATATCTGGACCAAACCCTGTGTGGAACCAACCTTTCATTTTTGATATTCCTGAGGAATTTGTGCATCAGTATTCGTTGCAGTTTCTGCTCATGCGCGGTCGAATCTACTCACGAGATGGTGTTGTAGGGCAGGTGTTAGTTGGACCAGGTTCAACATCTCTTGGGATAACTCACTGGAATGAAGCAATGACACCCGCTGCTGTAGAAACGACGAAATGGCATAATATTATTCAAGTGGACAAATATTAATTTTTTGAGGACAAATATGTTAGCGAGATTTCCATATGTTTATGAACAATTTTAAAGGTTGCTTTATGGATAAGATTATGGATCATTCATAGACCAATAAATTAAATTCATTTTGAAGAACATCAAAATCAAGATTACAATGAAAAGTCAATGATAATTTTATAGTGAGAGTCTACAGGGATTTCGAATTGGTGTATATCGTTGGAGCAAGAAGTAGAAAAGATATGGTCAAATTTTGGATGAAGCTAAAAGATTATTATTGCTGTTCTTTGATAGGATTTATTTTCGAAATTTAAAGACGTGTGAAGTTGGTGTCTGCAACCTTCTGGGCTCCCTCCGATATTCTTTAACTTTGGAACCTAGTGATAAAAGTAATATGAAATATTTCCTATTGCGTCACAAGCAAAATTTAGTGTGCTGATAACACTATTTCAATCAAAACAACTGAATATAAATTAGTATATTATTCAAAAGCTGCTATTAAAGGTTTAGCATGAAGACTGACCACTTCATATTTTCAGGAATACGACGGAACATTTCAATAGGATCATTTAAATACAAACGTAAATATTTTAGTTATTCTATATAGTTACAATAAGAAAAAGTTTAAAACCTAGAACAAAAAATTGATGTGTCACTTTTGGTCTTCCTACAGTATTTTTAGTCAGTTACTTAGTTTGTGTATTTTATAGCAAAGTCGCATTTTAGCGTTATAAGTCCGTAGACTTACTGCTGTTCTGTTGGCGGACAGTACTCTTAGTAAAATACGTTTTTTATAATTGTGTAAATTTAATTCTTCTTTTTACTAAATCAAGTAACATAGAGAAGAATCTTAGGAAAACTGTTTATGAACTATTTTAGAACTGACAACCTTAAATTACTTTAAACTAAATTGTGAGTCGTGCCTTCAATTCTCTATTAAGCAGAGTTTGCCCATCATTGAAATAATTAATATCTTAAAATAGTTTGAATAAACAATTCGTTACACTCGTCTCAACAAGCTATATTTTAATATAATTAACTTTAATCCACCTTTACATATTTGAATGTTTGCTTACACGAATAAATAAATGTAAAATAATACTAATAAATCTGAAAAATGCTTTCAGCACGAAATGTGTATTGTCGAATGTTTGAGTTTTTGCAAGAAATAGAAGGATTAACGGTTTAATAGTACGGTTATTGTAGAAGTTTATAAGGTTGATATGTAGTTTCTGACTTCTTTTGAAGACATTATACAATTAAGTAATAATGAATTGAGATATATGATTTTTAGTAAAATATAAAACAAAAAATGTAATATAATAATAAGTTATAAAACTAATTTTGGTATTTGAAGTTTATTTGAGTTATTAGTGGTTACTAAGCCTCTCTATGTTGAATTCATATCGTTTCAGGAAATAATATTTATTATATTAAGTTCGATAATTATCAAGTAGGTTTCAAGCTAACATCAATGATACGATTAAGCATAACAGAAACCTATAGACACAGAGATTATTCGTTCATGATATATTCCATTTAATATCTTTGTAGTATTCTAAGGTTCGAAAGGAAAGACACAGCTACCTGATCACCGTAAAAATAGAGGTTCGAGGATCTAGTATACTGAAATACTTTAAGTAAGTGGTTTGTTACCATTTAATTGACAGGGACTAGATTCGATGTGAAGGTAAACAATAAAACCACTATATTCACCAAAGTTGAACAACATCAGAAGCAAAGTCGTATTGTAACAAGCGTCAAAAACTACTGAAATTTATAACAAGCGTCAAAACTACTGAAATTTGTAACAAGCATAAAAACTACTGAAATTTGTAACCAGCATAAAAACTACTGAAATTTTTAACAAGCATAAAACTACTGAAATTTGTAACAAGCATAAAAACTACTGAAATTTATAACAAGCGTCAAAAACTACTGAAATTTGTAACAAGCGTCAAACTACTGAAATTTGTAACAAGCATAAAACTACTGAAATTTATAACAAGCGTCAAAACTACTGAAATTTATAACAAGCGTCAAAACTACTGAAATTTGTAACAAGCATAAAACTACTGAAATTTGTAACAAGCGTCAAAAACTACTGAAATTTGTAACAAGCATCAAAAACTACTGAAATGAAGTCATAAGAACTGTTTGAACTTAGTTGATAATAGACAATGTATCATTAAGTTAAAAATTGATACCTACGTACACATAGTCAAAAGAAACTAACAATAATGCAGACAAGACTTGCTGAGAGTGGTGAACTGGAAGGTTTAATGTTGGATGTTATGGTGCCTAAACAACGAAAAGCAGCGAAAAGGGGTTTAAGAAAAGTTGTTTATTTATTACAAAGTTATCTGCGGGGAACCGAAACCAGAATTTTACATCGTAAGTCTAAGAACTTACCGATGAATCACGGGAGAACATGGAGAGAAAAAAAAGAGTATAAAAAAGACGGAAAGAAATTTAAAAAGTATAAATACCATTGCAAAGAATGGAAAGAAAGCGAAAAGGGTGGATGTTAGGGGTGAAGAGGAATGAAAAGAAGCTAAAGGGAAGAGCAGCGAACAGAGGCTAAGAATAGACTAAAAAAAGAATAAAAAGGTAGAAAAACATTAAACAATGCAAAGAAAGGAAGAGCGAGAAACAGTGAAAAGGAAATAAAATAAACAAGAATAATAGGAAGAGAAACGAAAAGAAAGGGAAAAACCAACAATAGGAGAAAAAGATGTTAGTTAAAAGTTTAAGAAGTTCAGAAAATAAAGAAAAACGTAAACCACATTAAGAAAAGAAACTGAAATAAAATACTGTGACATTTACGTTGAGTTCTATTCTATATTATGCTACACCAATATCAATCATTGCCCCCAGTGGCACAGCGGTATGTCTGCGGGCTTATAACGCTAGAATCCGGGTTTCGATACCCGTGGTGGGCAGAGCACAGATAGCCCATTGTGTAGCTTTGTGCCTAATTACAAACAATCAATTATTCTTGGACATTATTGTCAAATAAAATGAAAAAAGAACATAACTCTATGTTTTTAAATGGTTTTAAATACTCAATTAATTTGGGATTTTTTTTTTCAATGAAATATATGTAGTCTTCCTGAAAGGTTAAATATTTTACTAAAATGTAGGTTTATTTTAAACGCTGACTACAGTCTATTATCACTAACTTAACTATTCGAGGTTCCCCACAGGATCAGCGTTAAGTTTACAGACTTTCAACGTCAAATCCGGGATTCGACCCAACACAATGGACAGAAGGCAAATAGCACATTGTGTAACTTTGCGCAAAAGTACAAACAACAACTACACGAGTTAGGTATTAGCCATTATTATTGGTTGCACGGGGTATGCTTGTTCTTTGTTGGAGTTTTTTAATTTCGCGCAACGCTACTGGAGAGCTATCTGCGCTAATCGTCCCTAATATAGCATTTATAGACTAGGTGGAAAGCAGCTAGTCAACACCCCTCACCACCAACATTTGGGCTACTCTTTTACTAACGAATAATGAGATTGACCATCGCATTATAACGCCCCCACAGCTGAAAGGCGAGCACGTTCAGTGACGGGAATTCGAACTCTCGAGCACCCTAACCACCAGACCATGTTTGAAGTTATAGTACAGCTTAGGTTGAAGATAAACGCAGATAAAATTTCTATAATTTGAATTATAAATATTTAGAATCCATTGTTTCATTGTTTGTTATTAAGCACAATGCTACACAATGTGATGTACCCACAACGGGTATCGAACGCTGTTTTTTAACGTTGTAAGACTTCAAACTAATCAGTGAGCCACTAAAAGTAAATACTAAATTTCAGACAAGTTATTCATTTTAGGTTTAGTAACAAAACTGAAATTTTAACAATAAAGTAAATAATTACCAGTTCCGTATTAAATTAAGTGTGGTAATCTTATCTTAACCAAGTAAAAGTGACAAATTTTTTATTCTCCATTGTAAACCTATGCATACGAATCACATACAACGTCACAACTACAGCATCTATTAAATAGATTTGTTTGAAATTTCATTTTCATCCACATGTACTTGGTTCTACCGATCAAATACCCTTATAAAATTTGTTTTTTCTTCAGTATAAGATCATTTTGCCATGAACCGGTCAAATCCGGATTTTGGCAGGTCTTACCTGTTGCTCAAACGATCAATATATTTAATGAAAAAATTAAATAGAAATTAATTACGTAAACTTTGATATCTAAATAAAATTATCTGAATTAAACTGGTCAATTTATATGGTCCCCAAAGTGATCGGTTTGGCGAAATTTCATGGTACATCTTGAAATTAGTTAGATTTATCCCTGATTGAATTATGACGTACGAAATGTTAGGGTGTAAATATGTCGCTCATATTAACGTCAAGAATATGCCTTATTCAGAAAGTTAGTTTTTGTCTGAAGATTTAAACAATAAAACTATAAACAATAACCTTGTCATTCTTCGCAATTAATCCATGTTATTAAATAATAATTATTCCAGACTAAACGTTTTTCTTAATCGATACTAAAATATAAAAGTTAAAATGTCGTTAAGATCTTACTTAGAATTGTTTTTTAATATGTGCTTAATTTTCATTGTACTGACATCCTTCTTTATGCTATTTAAGAAAACCAAAAAGAAAAAAAATGTTTGGATGACTTCCTTATGGCGTGTTTTTCATTGAGAATGTTATCTTTCTTCAATTTCAGTATGTATCTTTCCAATTGAACTGGTCTGGTGGTTAGGAGCGCTTGACCATCAATCTGAGGGCCATTGGTTCGGATCCCAATCACTGCCGTGAGGGCATTATAAAGTGACGGTCAATACCACTATTCGTTGGTAAAATAGTATCCCAAGAGTTGGCATTCGTTGGTGTTCACTAGCTGTCTTTCCTCTAGTCTATCACCGCTAACGTGTGGACAAATAGATCAGACAGCCCTCGAGTAGCTTTGCACGAAATGGAAAAAAATTAGCTTTTTTTATTGATTGGTAGGATGAAAATGCAGCTTGATAGGTTTAGTAGAATTAGTTACAGTACTTTCTGTTTCCTTTAAGAAATCATCATTATCTAAAATTATAATACTGTTGCGTCAGCGAGGTCACGTGACTAGTATCACGCC